TGCATCCAGAAGTAAAACAACTTCAAGTTTGGTTGTTTCAATGGCTCTATGAAATCTTGACGGGCCTGGATTTTATCCTCATCTGTGCTCTGCCATTTTCAGTGTTTGTTTCATCCTCAGACTGAAAGTGAGAAGGCAGCAGCCACCCCAAGACCATAAGGCATGTTCAGAGGGAGAGGGTTGACCATATCTTTCTCAAATTCCACCTTACTCGTGAGGACCAACAGCCCCACATTCATTTCTTCTTTTACCTAATTGGCCAAGGCCACAGGACAATTCTTTATCTAATCAGAGACAGAGATTTTCTTTGTGTTGATTTGGACTTCTGTGGAGTTGGACTAAAGTCAGCACCTTTCACCAGGCACATATCTTAGTGGGAGAGGAATGAATAGAGACCTAAACAAAAACTGGAGCTTCAGAGAGAAGAATGCCTGAGAAGCCTTAGTGAAAAAGATGGTAACAGTCAAGCTGAGTTCTAAAAGATGCATAGGAATGCTACAGGTGGACAAGGGCAGGGAAGAAAGGGGAGAGACATCATGGGTAAAGGCAGGGGGCTGTGACAGAGCATGTCTCTTTCCCGGCAATGGGGAAACTGTATCATCCCACACAAGTCCTGCATTTCAGAAAGTCATCTGGGGACACAAGACTGCTATTCTATTGAGAATGCCAGAAGAGTTTTGCAGATCAAGCAAATCTTGATGAATTTATAATATTTTCTGAACAGAATGTCCAAATTCTTCTGACTGATTCACCCAACACTGATTTTAAGATCAAATAAGGAGCCAAGAACATTGGCTTATACACAGTGGACAACCAAAGAAAAGCAGGGGAGCTCAGCCTAGAGAGGCAATGAGTTGGCGGGATGATGTCACTCATCTCCGAAGGGTGGGACTCAGTTTCTGAATCTGGTAAAGCTGGCAGAATTGAGATGCTTCTCTTTATCCTGGTTTCCTCTAATGAAATATGAAAATAATTCTTGTTCTTAACCCAAGTGAAGAGAAAGTTTTGAGGATAATCTTTACAAACTTATAAATGACCTTGGGGAAAATGCTATAGAAATACAATGTCTTGTTATTAATCCCTGCTTTCAAATGTCTTCATGCACACATAGGAAAGTAAAAAAAAAAAAAAAAATGGCAATGTGCTCTGCCTTAAAACACCTCTCCTACATAAAACACAGAGGACCCCACACACAGACAACCACAAACATAGATTTCCATTTCCAGTTGTGTCACCTACTTTGAAGATCTCACACATTGAGGAAAGAGATCTGAGGTACGACAATCACTAGAGAGAGAGGAAGTGGTCTTCTCTGCACAGGTAGGAGGAGGCCATGTGACTAATCAAGGCAATTTGAAAATTTAACAAGAGGGAGAGAAAAATCATACACAGGCTCAAAATCAGAAAAAAAAAACAAATTTAAATAAGACGCACTAAAAGAAAAAGATTTGTGAGGTTTCATCAAATGTTCAGACTTTTAGGAGAAATGAATCACCTTCCAAATTGCTGTCATGATTTGCCTGTTAATAAGAATGTGCTTCTCCTGGGAAAGCGAGGTTGGCTATGAGATTAGGTAGTGACTCTTGTGCCTTAACATGACGGAAATGCTTGAGTTCATCACATCCTGTTAGGTTCTCTTTTATCTCATTACCTTTATGAAACTTATTGTCTTTATGAAAAGAGACAGCAGCAGACAGCAGAGTGGTTTGTGCTAACATATGAGTTTTACTGTTTCTGAAGGGCATTTCTGTCTACGGTGCAGCTTTCTGGGGTTCCATGGGGGTCACAGAACTTGGAGAGAAAGTAGTTCTCCTCCTTTGTGGTTACTGTGAAAATAGGTCATTATTTTCCATCTAGTGGAAAGATGATTCTGTATATTGCTAGTGACCCTTCAAATGGACATATGCATCTCTGTACACCTAGCTGATGTTCTGTAGGTGATGAGGCCAGTCCAGTTATGTATTTTGTGTCTGACTACAACAGCTTACAGGTTATTTACAATTTATACACACCCAATTTAAGGCTTCTGGCCTGAGGACATCATCTATGACACAACACCTTAAAAAAAATCTCTCCCACAGATTTTCCTATATTCCATATAATGGAAAATTACAACACAACACCATTTACAAGACATTGAAAACCAAGGAGTGGCCCAAGATGTCTGCTCCAAGAAACTACAGTAACTGTCTTGGGACTAGAAAGAAAGAATAAACAACTCACATTCCAGCAAGAAGCATCTGTCTTTTGTCATTCTCCCTAAAGCAACATAAAATGTGCAGAGAAAGGCAGCCATTTCAGTGAGGGCAAAGGAGGTCGCCTGTTTGTAACATTTTCCACCATTCCCTTGCAACTAAAACCCAAATCCCATTACTTTCCAACTGCCTATCAAAGGAGGGTGTTTGCTGATGCAGCCCAAGGAAGCCTAATCACTATCCATGGCAGCCCCTGTGTTCTGGAGGATGATTAAATGGCAGAGCCTAGGGAGGAGCTGGATGCGAAACCTTACCCCTATGCCAAACTCCTCTAGGGTATTTCAGATTTTTATTTTTTTTCTTTTTACTTTTTTTCAGATTCCTATCCAAAACATGCTTTCTTTGGCAGCCTCCCCAGAAGACTGTGAAGTCATAGTGCATAAGCTATCCAACTCCTACCTCTGCAGGACGGTAGAACAGACTCAAGACTTGCCAATTGCAGCTGTTCTCAGGCGAGGGCTGTCTCTGGCCGGTGGAAATCAGCAGACACACTGGCAGTGCACACACCTACGCTGGGGGAGCTGCAGAGCTTCCCTCTTCAGGAGGTTGTCAAGCTTGCAGATGAGGCAATTCGTGTTCTCCCAGTCACTCCGAATCTTTGCTTAACATCTCACAGTCAACAGTGTTCTTCTTTTCGTGAATGACTACCTCTCAGGGAGACTATGAGTTGTCGAAGTTATCACTTATTTCTTATTTATGGATAGAAGATTAAGATATTTCCACCTGACCTTTTCAATCTGGTCTTCCACTGAATTGACTCCTCTGATTCCTACGTGGACAGCCACTCTCCAGCCTTCCCAGAAATTTCTCCCTAGCCCTTCCTGGCCGCACTTTCTGCCAGGCTTATGCTGTTCCTCCTGTGATGAAGACTTTTACCTATCCCTCCTTTTCAAAAGGCCTGTCTCTTCAATTCTACTGCATCTGTGAAATTTTTGCACATGATTTGTTCTGAGCGAGATATTGCCCCACTGTAGTATCTCTTTTTATAGTACTTTGTGGATTATTAAGACCCTTGGCTTTATAGATATTTGTGTACGTGTGTCCCCAACACCGAATTGTAAGATCAATGAGGGCAGATGTCAGGCCTCAACTATTTTTATATTTTCCAAAGCGCCTAGTGCAGTGTCTTATACGTAGTAAGTACTCAATAAATGTATGCTGAATTTGAATTTAAAATTCAAAATAATAAAGACTAATGAAGGTATGAGTATTAAAGGTATGAATAAAATGGTAGAAAATATTTACAACATATGTAAGACAACTTTTATTAGCTTGAGTACATTAGCTCCAACAAATCAAAAGAGAAAGAAAAAAAACCCATAGAAATATGGGAAAAGGTTATGTATAGCGATTTCTACAAGATAGGAAATATAAATGTCTAATAAACATATGACAACATATTCAACCTGAGTAATAAAGGGAAGTGCCAATCGCAAAAAAAAAAAAAAAATCCAAGATACCATTTTTTGGATACACCCATTTGGTAAAATCAATAATTTTGATAGTATTAACTAAGAGATTTACGGGGAGCAGTTTCTGATGAGAGTAAAAATCAGTAAAGCCACTTCAGAGGGCAGTTTGCAAGGACGATTCAACATTTCAGTTTTTCAGCATCTACTCAAAGTACTCTTGTTCGTGTGCACAAGGAGGTAATACAACAAATGGTTTATAATGAGAAACAAATCTTGCTATCCTTCTGCAAGGCTATGTCATGCTAGGCTGTGTAGAAGCTATAAAGAATGAGGTTGACCCTACAGAGGGGTCCTCTCTACTCTCTGAAATACCACTTTTGTCTTTGCCCCTTTATCTCACTTTCTCTGTGTATATTTGACTATTATCTTTCTTCTTCTCTAACATGTAAACTGACAAGAATAGATACTTAGTCTATTTTTCCAGTGCTATATATGCAGCTCTGGCACATAATAGGAGCTTAATAAGTGGATATTGAAAGACGAATGTGGAGCTATATGTAGCATCATGGAAATTTCTTCAAGGCATATGAACAAGAAGAAAAAGCAAGTTACAGAATAGTACAACTAGGATGATATAATTTATGCATAGTAAGTATAAAACCAACTTTTTTTCAGTGTCTTTTTAACAATTCCATTCTCTCCATAACCCCTTTCATTTCAAACTTTGCCATCTTAAGCTCATCACCTTAACAAAAAGACATATTTGGGCAGAGAGTAAGAATGTGATCTATATGGTTCTTCCTAACTCTGGTTTTCAATAGTGTAAATTCCTTTAGGGAAACAGAACTCTGAATGTTTTCCCTCTTCCCTCCCCAGAACCCAAACAACAGCAACAACCAACCTTGAGCTGAGCAGAGAAGGGAAAATGGGGTATGTGATGAGAATACAGATTCTTTTCCGGGGCTATCTCACCCAGACAGCACTCAGAAGCTGAAAGGCAGAGGGAATTTTGGTGGAAGAAAACCTGGATGGCTTTGCAGGGATTCTCTTGTTTTAACAGGCAGTACCAGTAGACTGATTCCTACTCTTTAGTCTTGACGTGGCAAAGGCAGGCTCCATTTCTAAGGAGCCAGGCAGAGGGAAACAAGGGTTTTCTCCACAAATGCCTGTGAGACAGATGACTTAGAGGACCAGATGCTTCCCTAATTGCCAGCAAATGTACCTTATCTTTATCCCATTCTATTTTCATTAACCTTTTTATTTGAGTAGAGTTGACACATGACGTTACATTAGTTTCAGGTGCACAACATAGTGATTCCACAAGTGTAAACATTATGCTATGCTCCCCACAAGTGTAGCTACCATCTGTCACCATACAATGCTATTACAATGTCATTGACTATATTCCTTATGCTGTGCTTTTTATTCCTGTTACTTATTCATTCCATAACTGGGAGCTTCTACCTCCCACTCCCCTTTACCCATTTTGCCCCCCCCCCCCCCCCACTTCTCCTCTCTGGTAACCATCAGTTTGTTCTCTGTGTTTACAGGTCTGATTCTGCTTTTTGTTTATTTTTTTTATTTAAAAAAAATTTTTAGATTCTATATAAGAGTGAAATCTTGTAGTATATTTCTTTCTCAGTCTGATTCATTTCATAGCATAATACCCTCTAGGTTTACCCATGTTGTCACAAATGGAATACTTGTATACTGTCAGTAGGAATGTAAACTGGTAAGTCAACTGCGGAAAACAATATGGTTGTTTTTCAAAAAATTAAAGATAGGATTACCATATGATATAATAATTCCACTACTGGGTATTTACTCAAAGAAAACAAAAATACAAATTCAGAAGGATATGTGCAACCCTATGTTTATATGTTTATTGCATTATTTACAAGAGCCAAGATACAGAGGAAATCTAAGAGTCCGTTGATAGATGAATGGATAAGGAAGATGTGTTATTTATATATCTATATATATCTTATTTATATATCTATATATCTATATATTATGGAATATATAAAAATAGAATATAATAATATATAATGGAATATTATAATATTTTGTTATAATATTATAATGGAACACAATATATAATGGAATATATATAGATATATATATGAGAGAATATTATGCAGCCATAGCAGAAGAGAGGAGGGAAGTGTCCAATGTACTAGGAACAATGCTTTCTATGCTACCAGAATAATTACTCTAAATATTAATTATTTTCTTTGCAACTTAGAGTAGAGGTTGAGCTTTACACCTGTACCTATATAATCAAGTAGGTACATAGAAAAACATCTGGAAGTTTGCAAGCATGTACAGGGGACTTGAACTGTGGTTAGCAGTGAATAGAGGCTTTGGCTTGATCTGTAATGTTTGGATTTTGTACAAAGAATGTGTTCACGTAGTCAGTGTAATTAAAAATAAAAATTTCCATTTTTTTAAATCATTTTTTAAAATTTATTTTCAGCATAACAGTATTCATTGTTTTTGTACCACACCCAGTGCTCCATGCAGTCCGTGCCCTCTCTAATACCCACCACCTGGTTCCCCCAACCTCCCACCCCCCCACCTCTTCAAACCCTTCAGATTGTTTTTCAGAGTCCATAGTCTCTCATTGTTCACCTCCCCTTCCAATTTCCCCCAACTGCCTTCTCCTAACTCCCCATGTCCTCCATGCTATTTGTTATGCTCCACAAATAAGTGAAACCATATGATAATTGACTTTCTCTGCTTGACTTATTTCACTCAGCATAATCCAAAGATAAAAAAGATAAAAAGACAGCCCAATGTACTTTCTTGCCAAAAGGTTGGGTAAGAGTTAGATTTGCTGAGTCCATGTAGAGGGATTGAGTTTAGAGCTGACAGGCTTCTAAGGGGAAACCTGATAAGGCTGTGGTAGAGCTGTCTAAATCTAACCTATAGAAAGCTGTGATTCTGCATTTTTACTGATTATTCATGTAGGTAATTCCTCTGGCCTCCCTAAAGATTTGTCTACCATCCTAAAAATGCCAGAATTTATAACTCAAGAATTAATCAAAGGCTTATGAGGAGAAAAATGAAACATTAAATCTAAGTTCTGTCATGGATATGGCTTTTTAATTACTTAGGAAAACAATATAACATTCTGATATTTATGACTATCTCATACTTTTATAGCTGGTTTCAATTATGTACTTAAATTTCATTTTTTACGTGTCCTTGCTCTAACTAGTATGGTTTTAAAATTAATTTTGTTTTTCATTTCTTGATGCCCTTGTTTCTTATAGTTAATGAATGGTATGAAAAATTTTTAGCAAGTTAATAAACATGTAATTATAAAACTACTGAAGTAGAAAAACCTCACACTTTGAGAAGCGTTTCATTTATAAATCATCAGTGTTTGAGGGTCCCAAACTCTGGGTGCACTGACGCCTACCTATAATGATTTATCTTAACGATAATGTGTTTCGTTAACCTTTTTCTTTCTGTATTGTAATTCAGCTTTCTGCCAGTTAAGTTGTGCCTTCAAAGACTAGTTCAAGAGGCCAGAATCAAGTAATTCTCTCTCTCAGGGAGTTCCTATTGACCTTTGATGTATCCGATGCCCTTGTGATTTCCACTGGACCTACCACGATACAGTATGCATAATGCATCATGATGATTATGCACAAAAGAGAACTAGTAATACTGGGTAACTCATAGAATCTCTGTAGCTGGAAAACCAGCACTGGGAAAGGAGTAGGAGCAAACCAGTCTAATGAGGAGAAGCACTGCTGTCATAACTGCTGGACCACAGTGGATGCCATAGCACAATACAACCATCACCGTGAACAAGTGTGCCTGACTGGGCACTTGTCCAACAACTGCCAGACAGACTGGCAAAGTAAGTATTCTGCATTCTCTGGGTCTAGAGTGGAAGGAACATCTCACCAAGACTTGGAAGGTGGAAAAGTCACAAACACAAGAGGGGAGTTCAAAGCCCAAGGAATTGCAAAAACCCGTAAATGTCTATCACAGGGATTAAAGTGGAGCCTTTTTTCTTTTCCTGACCCTGAAAGACTTATGAACACTGGATCTCTGAATATTGGGTGTTAAATGCCTGAGTGTATTAGTTTTCTGTTGCTATATAACAAATTACACCAAAAATTTAGTAGTTTAAAACCAAAAGAAGCATTTATTCTTTCACACAGTTTCTGTGGGCCAGGA